AGATAACTCTTCTATTATATATATATGGAACATATTAAGTGAGAGAGAATTTATTATGAGAGACGAAAGGGTTAAAATATAACCCTTAGATTAATCAAGTGATAGGAAATTAATCTAAGGGTTATATTTTATGTTCAAATATAAAAAAACTGCTACAAATAAATAAATATAACCATATAAAACTAAAAATGCATACATATTGTACATAATAAATGTTTAACAAAAGCAAATTACAAACTTAGAACAAAATCAAATAGAAATTATTCCACTTACACCAAAATCAAAACCAAATTATAAACTTAAAAATTACTAATAATCTTAATTTTTTGATAGTCCACAAAACAAGTCTATTACTTATGCAAACAATTGAAACCCAATTACTTATATAAGTTGACGGGTTGTGATGGGTGTTCTAAAACTAGAACGGGCCGTTCCAAACCAGGCAAAAGGCCTAAAAATCTTAGGCTGGAACAGGTCGTTCCTAAACTAGAACGGGTCGTTCCAAACTGCTAAATAGCCTAAAAAACCTAGTTTGGAACGGGCCATTCTAGCAATGCATTTTTGTGTTAATCTCAACCCCAGAATGGGTCGTTCTAGTTTCAGAACAAGTCGTTCCAGGGTAAAAATTTAACACATAACGTTCAGATCCAGAACGGGCCGTTCTGAATTTGAAACGGGCCGTTCTAGCACCCTTCTGATGCCTATAAATAGACTGCTTGGACACAGTTCTCAAGGCCACCAAATTTCGTCCAAAACTCCTTAGAGTTCAAAATTTCTCTCTTTCTCCCACTTATTGTATTTCTTGAGTTTTGTGAGACATATTATAGTGTGAAAGGTTGCCACAAAATACCTAAAAATCTCCATATTTGAATATTCAATAGAGCTCGTTCAAGAGGTATTTCAGTCAATCTTCTTCTTTTCCTTTTATTTCTTATTTTTGATAAATCTTGTTATAATAAAAGCAATCATGTAGATATTTTAAAGTCAATTGTGTAATTTAAATTTTAAGCATGTAAATAGTCATAATAAAAGGGGATTTAATATTTATATTATTATTTTTATAATGCTAACTTCATCATAGGGTACCGATTAAGGACGTTGTAGGGGTGCTTAATACCTTCCCTACACGTAACTGACCCCCGAATCCAATTCTGGTTATCAAGGTCATTATTGGACTTTTAAAAACCTTTTATTTTCCAATGTTTTGAGTAAAACATTAGTGACGACTCCAATAACCTATTTTTCAAAACCATTAATTAAAGATTAGTATAGTGTTCGAGCATTCTTTAAATGATAAGATTTTTAAAATGATGTTTAAACCATAGGTCGCAAGATCAAAAATTTTCGGGTTGCGACAATACATATACGATTGTTTTTTAAATCAGGTTAACCATCTTGTCTTGCTTCTAAATAATCTATCAAATCAAAGAATCTCATTTTCAAGAACTAACTAATTGTAACTGATTTGCATGGAAGAGAAGAGGATTCATCTGGAATAGTGAGGAAGAGCGCAAGGAAAAGCGTGAATTAATTGTGTTTAATTTAATAGATAAGGAAATAAGTGAGAGAAATATTTGCTTCTGCTGAGTTGAAGACCAGTATCAAGGTCAACTCAAGTATAAGATAGTTCAAACTATTGATTTAAAACCCAGATCGAACTAACCGATCGGACCGGTTGGATCAGGAACCGGTGGTCTAGCCGGTCTAAATCTTAAATTGGATCGGTTATGTAGTCGACTCGTTTCAAATCGGATTAAATCGGTCAATTTTCCGGTTCAATCGATGAACCGGTGGGTCAAATCAGTTCAACCACTTCTTTTTTTTTTTTTTTTCAATTTTTTTAAAGAATCATAAAGCACAAAAAATAATAATGAAAATTGAATCTCTTAATGGAAGAGCAAAGAGTCTTATTAAATATAACAATGACTACTTGTTTTAATGTATTTGTTTGTAATATATACAACTTAAATAACTTTTATAGTATATTATTAATTTTAAATATATTTAATAATATAATATTTATGTAGATATTACATATATTATTTTGTAATATCAATTACAAACATATTATATATGTACATATTATTTATATTTTTAATTTGTATTAATATACAATTTAACATGTAATTTTTTTTATGTATTTTTTTATTTTAAATAAGATAGAAAAATTGAAATTTAAAATAAGATATGAATTTATTAAAATTTATAAGTATAAAATATATTTAATATGAATATTAAATAAAAATTGAGTCATGCGGTTCAACTAGTGACTCATCGATTCAACCTTTGACCCTTTGATCCACTAACCCAGTACCTTAACCGGTTTGATGACCGGTCCGGTTTTTAAAACTATAGTTCAAACCTTAGTTTAAGTCTTCAAAATATTTTTTTTATTTATAAAACTTAATAAATTAGTTGTATTAATATTAATTTTGATTTATTGATTATTATCTAAGCCTAATGTTGTAAAATTCAGATTTGATTATAATATTATAATTTTTTGTTGAAAGATTCTTTTTTTTTTATGAGTGATTATTAATTTTCTTATCATTATTTTTAAAAATGTCTAACTTTAAAATTGACTTTAGACCTGGATCAGCCTGACTAGCATAGTAGTAATTGATAGATAAAATTCAGAATAATATAAATAATATTTTTGAGAGTTAGTTGAGATAGTAATAATATGGATAGTATTTTAGAGAGATACTCCAAATAGTAATAACATTGAATCAATGTACTTTCTTTGTTTGTTAATTATTGTTTAATCATATGTGAAAAATGTGTTGCTGCTGTGATATATGTGCTTACATTAGATCTTAATTGTGTTAGTTATGTTACTGGATTGCAGGTTGCTAACGTAATATTTGTCGAGACCACTTCTTGTGTAATCTTGATAATTTTTAATAAAACTAATTTTGTCTTAAAAAAGAAGTGAGGGAAATAAAATGGTGGACCTATATTTATTTTAACTGATATGTTTAAGTTTATTTAATATATAAAAATTATAATAGGAGCGTCTATTTAATATAATTTACATTTCAAATATTTAAATACATAATATTTATATATCATTTAAGGTATTCTTAATTATACTAGTTGAAGAATTGACAAAAAAAGATAACATTAATATTAACAAAATTAATTTAAATATAAATTATTATATGAAAACTATTTTTCACATTTTAACATATATTTAAATATTAGTTAACGTATCATTAATCAAATGAAATATTAATTAATTAATTATTACTTTCTCTCTTTCCTATCATAAGAATTTTTTTTATTTATTTACATTAAATTTTACTAATTCTATAACATTCTTTCAAAATTGTATTTATTATAAATGTTAAAAGAAATAATACAATTAAAATGTCATCATTAAATGAGACATATTTTAGAGAAAATATTATTAAAAAAAAGTAGTTAAAATTTGCTTATATTTAAAAAGAAGAAAATGTGTTTTTTTTTTCTTCTTCTTCCAATAATAGAGAATAAAAGGAGTACATGATATACAAATAAATAAATGTATTTAATGTAGTGTAGAATGAGAACTGGACAATAAATAAAAAAATTATTAATAACACAATTTCACCACATAGAGTCATATGGATAATAAATTGAATCATGTAAGTAATAAGATAATCTTCATGGTAAACTTTTTAAAAAAGAAAATATGAAAAAGGAAAATACTCAAATCTTATTCCAATCATGCATATATTTTTAAATCATTTCTGAGCATCGTCATCATCAATTTACATCTACATAAAACAAAAAAAAAAATTTAAACAAAAATTTTGATACTATAAACAAAAAAATAGAAAGCAAAAAAGCTAACAAAGTATCTAACAAAGTAGTAGGTGAGAGTGGACAACAAAAAATGAATTAGAGAGTAGTTATTGACAAAGTCTCATAAAATCTATAAATTTAAAAAAAAATTAAAAACACATAATTGGTATTAAAAATTATAAAAAAAGGTGATATTTTTAATTGACTTTATTAAACTTATTCAAAACTAATAATTTAGTTTTAAAACAAATAGAGAATGTTTAAATTCTAAAAGGTAGAAGATTTTTATAAAATAAGTGAATTAAAATTGTGTAATTGTGAATGAGAAAATTTTTAAAGAAACTATTCGATCGGTAATAATATAAAGATATAGACACGAGAGTAAACTTGAGGAGAAGTGTAACCTTGTTAACATTGTATCCTTGTTATACACATGTTTCGTGTAATAATTTTATTAAACTAAGATCAAGCGTGCTCCGCACGGAAAAGAAAATAAAAAGTAGGAAACAAACTTTTTCCGTTGTAAATAGAAAACAGTAAAACTGGGAAAAAAAGACGTGCACATTTGGCCACTTTCCCAATTGTGTCAACATTATTGTTCAACTTTTAAATTTGTACAATTTGTCACTTATTTTTTTATTTAATTTTTGACAATTTATAATTTTGTTAGTTGACTGCTTAGTTTTATCGTTGACCACTACATATTAATTTAAAAGTTTGGTGATAAAATATATAAATTTAAAAGTTGGGTGAGAGAGTCTAAAAAATTATGAATTATGAGTGACTGAAAATTAAGCTGTGTTTAACATATTGTAGTAGTATAGATGACATACACTATGACAACTGTTGCATGTCATAGTTATATTTTGCGTGTCAAACTTATTCATGTGACGTAATGTCATATGGCATGAAGCACATTGATATCAACAAGACCACAATAGAAAAAATCATGCACTCAATTATTTATGTGTTGATATTGTATTTTTTATTATAAAGTTATTAGAATACTAAAACTTGCAATTAAATTTTTATTAAAAAATAGAAACATTACACATAAATCAATTAATTGTTATTGATTAATTTATTTTTTATAATACTAATTTTTATAGAAAAAATAGGACCTTAAGTTACCGTGCTCACTAGTGTGGGTGCCACCGAGAAAAAAACATATAAAACTAAGATACATGGAACCCACAACGTGGGTTGCAGATTTTCTCACTTCATTAAAACAAGTACCATTTGTCTTTCTTACTTGGCATCTTTCCTTTTCCCAACATGCTCCTTAAATTCACTTCTAATGGTTGACCAAACGCAGACATCATATTTTGCAAAGACAATGGAGAGTGGAAGCGAGAGATGGAACTTTCAGGGGAACAAGAAGCTCAGTGCTTCTTCCATCTCTGTGAGAGGAGTCTATAACATGTTGATGGAGAGAATCAACAATAATGAACACAAGAAACCACTGGTTCGTTTGTGTCGTGTGGATCCCACCGATAACCCAATCTTTAGGACTACCCCTGAAGCTTCTGACGCTGTTGCAACTGCTGTTCACTCCTATAACTTCAACTCTTACCCTCCCACTGTTGGCTTACCTGAGGCAAAGAGGTTTATTCACTCTCAACTCTCATTTACTTAGTAAAATATTGTTATGTAATATGTAAGAGTAGGTAGTGTTAATTCAGTAATAAGCATAAACTAGAAGGTGTTAAGTTATATTATATGTTTTCACGTGGATTAAGTTTGCCATGTCTTGGCTATGTTAATGTGATTGAAGTACCAAATCTGTTGAATGATTAAATATAAACAATACTTCTAGACTTTGTCTTTTGAAATTGACATTCAGACATGATGGACTGCATATTTATAATTCCTGTTACAAAGAAGAGATAGACCATAAGTATTAACTATTAAGTAACGTATAATCCTTTAGTTCGGATTACATGTATACCCATTTCCTGGTGGACTATTTGTATAATGGTATTTGGTAATCCTACAAATGACAATGCATTTGAAATTCTCAGTTCAAAGGTTTAAAAAAATGATCTGTTAACACGATTTTGGTTACAACGTCAAGGTTTTTTGAGTTCTCTTCTTTATAACTGCATGACAAATGCAATTATAGTGGCTTCAGTTGTGTTTGTTTGTAATTTTCCTAAATGTTAAGGATCGTGACACAATCACAATCACGACCGCGACCACAATTCAAAACGTTGCTGAAATCAATTTAAGATTTTTTATGTTGATTTGATGATAATGTACTGCAATTTCCCAAAGCAGGGCTATTGCAAATTATCTCTCTTCTGATCTTCCATACCAGTTATCAGCAGAGAATGTTTTTCTGACTGTTGGTGGCACACAAGCTATAGATATAATCTTACCTGTCCTTGCACGTCCTGGTGCCAACATTCTCCTTCCAAGACCAGGGTACCCGCAATATAGTTCTCGTGCTGCTTGTTGTCTCCTTGAAGTTCGGTACTTCGAGCTGTTGCCTGAGAGAGGTTGGGAGGTTAACCTTGATTCGATTGAAGCTCTAGCAGATGATAACACAGTGGCCATGGTCCTCATCAATCCTAGCAATCCATGTGGAAATGTGTTCACATACCAACATTTAAAAAGGGTACATGTAGTCTTGTACTTAAGTTGCTTAAGAGTTGGAATCCAAATGTGATTATTTTTCTGTGTTCTTGTAGGTTGCTGAGATTGCGAGGAAACTTGGAATCTTTGTAATTTCTGATGAAGTTTATGCTCATGTAACTTTTGGAAGTAATCCATTTGTGCCCATGGGGGTGTTTTCATCCATAGTGCCGGTCATTACAATTGGTTCTTTATCAAAAAGATGGTTAGTTCCTGGTTGGAGAACTGGTTGGATAGCCACATGTGACCCTCATGGAATTTTTCAGAAAACTGGGGTTAGTTCATTTTTTTTTCTTCATTTTGAAGATCAAATTAATGGAATAAATTTTTCTTAGCTTATATAGATATTCTTATACTTGACTGACAATATTGCATGAATTATGCAATTGCTTTCTTTCTTTTTAAGGTTGTGAAAAATATCATCAGCTATTTGGAGATCACATCTGACCCTCCAACAATTTTGCAGGTAACCAACGGAAACTAGCATAGGCAAACTACAAAGAGCAATCTAAAATACTGTTACAAAATTACATCCTTGTTTTCTTCCGCTGAATAGTATACATGCATTCAGAATTTTATACATTTTTATACTTTGTATGCTCATATCCATTTTTACATTTTCTTTTCCCTCGAAACAAAGATCACAGCTTGTAAGTTTGCAGGCAGCAATACCTGAAATCCTTGACAAACCGAAAGTTGATTTCCTTTCAAAAAATCTTAATATACTGAGGGAGGCTGCAAACATACTACATGATTTATGTAAGGAGATCCCTTGTTTAACATGCCCTCACAAACCAGAAGGAGCCATGGCTGTTATGGTACGTGGCATAAAGAGTTTTAAGGTTTTCATTGTTATTACTTCAACACTCGATCATCTTAACAGATGATCAATTAATTGTAAATTGATTTAATGGAGCAGGTGGAGATTAACATTTCACAAATTAAGGATATTGTTGATGATATGGATTTCTGTGCCAAACTAGCTGAAGAGGAATCTGTCATTCTTCTTCCAGGTAATACTTTTTTCTTGTCATCAGAATCTCAGATTAAATAATTCCTTAAATAAAATAAACTCATGGTGAGAATTTCTCTTTATTGATATATAATACTAGGTGTTACGGTTGGACTAAAGAATTGGCTTCGAATTAGTTATGCTGTCAAAACTTCTGATCTTGTAGATGGCCTTAACAGGATAAAAGCATTTTGCCTTCGACATGCAAAGATGCCATGAAGTCATGTCACATGGTAGGGTGTGGTAGGTGCTGATTTCTTAGGCATGTTATATCTTATCAAGACCATTAATTTGGCAAAAATATATTTTTACCCATCTCTATGGTGATTGAGCGGTAGAGACCTCATTTTTATTCGAATTTATTATCGGTCTTGAATTTCCTTCCATGGCATGATGTAATGCTTAGGATTATATTTAATAAACCACTAATTTGATACATCATACATGAAGTATCACTCTTTCTCCTCCTTAAATATTATAAATATATATCCAAGTAATATTGAAGTATTGGGATTGATCGATCAAGGTTATTTTTTTTTAAAAGTAATTACGTAAATAAGATTGTTTTAAAATTATTTATACCTTTAAAATTATTTAATATAATTTTTTTTAGAAGTCATGCAACAAAAGTTGCTATAATCGGTAGCGATCTAACTAAAATCGCTGTCAATTGTAACGATATATAATGACTTCATTTTTTTTTCTCTATAAAGTCGGTACAGGTTATAGCATCTAATTTTTTTTAAAAAAAATAATAATTAAATGAAATTGTTACATATTATAGTGACATCATTTAATTATTTTTAAAAAAATATTAATTTATTTGAATTTTTAACATATAACATTTAAAAAAATTAAATTTATTTAATAATTTTTAAGACTAAAATAAATTGTTAAAAAATAAAGAAAAATAAATTAATTTTTAATTGAATTTTTTAATATAAGAAATATAATTAATATATATATATATGTATATATACAATTATAAATATAAATTTAATAAAGTAAGTAATTTT